GACATGAAAAGGCACAGTACGACATGCACGAGAAAACATGCAGTAGAAACAGAGCCACAGAAGTTGATAAGATATCAAGAATAGTCCAAGAATCCTTCAAGCAAACACAAGGCGCGGTGTTCAAGGTCTCATGTCGTTAAAGTTGAAAGGCAAGCCTGCGGCCAAAGAAGTGTGAAGCCTGATTGAGAGGCCTCCCTGCATGCAAAGGTGCCATAGGTGGTTGGATTCCTTCAATCACGGTCCAAGCCCCGGGCAGTCTGACTTTGCCAGACTCTCACTATCATTCATTTTTGCCTACGACGACTATGTTTGACATCACATCGCCGTGTTCGTGTCGCTTGAACCATTTTACCATGCTTAGTGATGCATTACCCCGAGTGCTGATTCAGAGGTTGTTGTGGGTCTCCTCTTCCCGCGTCTTTGTCCCTATACAAGACCCATCAACGCTGAGACCCTAAACGGAACCTAACTGCTTCAGGAGTACATGAGGAAGGCAGTGGCAACAGTGGCGCAGCACCTTTCCAGTTTCAAGCTCACCCGCCCCGACGCCTGGATTCGATTCTGCAGGGTTGTGAATCTGTTTGGACTTTGGCTACGACCTTTGGACAACAACAATAACTTGTTGGGTTTCCGGTGCTTCTTATGGTGTTTGAACTGTCAACCTGTAGAAAGCCATGGTGCAACGAGCATCTTAGCGTTTGGGCATCTTCGAACTCCTAATTGGAGTAAAGCTGTGAGGGACTTGGAGCTTTCGAGTCCAGAGGCGTTTGGTGCAAGGTGCTTCAATGCCATTGAGCGTACCTTTATTTCGGAGACGCTGAATGGAAGGACCCCCTCTACTTTTCGACCCCCATTTCGATTTATGTAAGGCAATGTTTCTGCTTTATCCAGCACAAACCTTCCAATCCAACTTTTGGCAGAGCTCTTTGCGGATCTGTTTCCAGAACCGTTGCGGTTTCCCCATACGCTGCTCAGCTCTGTTCCAGTTCTGTTCGAGCGCTGCTGCCAATCTCCGTCGCGTTCGTTCTGGGTCCATCCCGTCCCCCGCCCCTGGAAATGATAGACAGCCGAAGCTTCAGGCCCGGCGGAAATGAAGTGAGACAATGATCCCAAACCGCGAAGACACACGCAGCTATTGCCCTCGAAATACCCGACAAAGCACTATACAACATTTGTAAAACAGAACATGTTTTTGCACCGCACCTTTCTGGCCACGCGCTGTGTTTTGCTGACGCACGGTGAATATTTCTGTAATATGAAGCTGCTTAGAGCGAAGCAGTGCTGAGAAAGTGCGGGCATAAGCGCCCTTTCTGTTCTCTATTCAGTGTCGGGCACTGAGAGATTATGAGTTATGTGCTGCAGTGACGGGTGAGCCTGGTGGCACAGCATCCGTCTACATATATATATATATATACTTGCCCGAGTCTCCCCGCAGCCTTGCTGTAGCCTATAAGATGAATTCCTTTTGCCGTCTTAAAGACAGGCAGGAACGAAAAGGCCTGTTTGTAAGGAAGGGTGCAGAGGCAACAGTCATCAGAGATGCATCCTTCTGACGACCCCTTTGGTAAGGTTTGCGTTTACCCGCACACCCAGGGTCCGAAAAGCCCCAAACACAAAAAGAAAGAAGAGAAATTCCGAGGAGATCCTGAGGGTGACGTCTGCTCACCGAATCCTCTGGGCAGCCGGCTTGGTGCTCCGAGGCGACCTGAAGGGCCCCCCCCTCTTTGGCTCCTTTTTCTTTTTGGGGGAGGGTATATTCCTTTTTTTGATAAAATCAGATCCTACCAAGGCTTTCGATAAGGTCTAGAAGATGAGGATCCCCCTTTTCAGACTTGGCTTTCGAGTCGAGATGTTGACAGGGCTTGGTGACTGGAGTTGCGAATTCGGAGATTTCGATGTAGGCAGGGTGCTGCCGAGTTGTTTCAGCACGCCACAAACCGCTGACGACTTTTGCTATTACCACGCAGGCAGCAGTGATTCTACTTCTGGCTTTGAGGGCATTGTCTGGTTTGAGGTTTTCTTCGGCCCGCCCATTTGTTGGAAGGGGGGAGTTCTCGAACTTAGGAGGTTTTCGTTATTTGAGAGGCACGTCTTCTCTTGGGGTTCCGAAAAGGGACGTTTCTTTACAGAGCTGCCTATGCTGAGGCTCTTGCGAACCTGCAGTTCTGCCAGGGCGACTACTGTCAGAACCATGGGTACAAGTATCCAGCTAGATTCAAGTAGATTCAAGTGTAAAGTCTAGGTTTAGGGGATAGATGATTAAGACTGAAGAACCTGCTTACAACATATTTGTCCGACGATATATGGTTTCGTGACTATGGCCATGTAGGAATTTTCACAATACTCTTAGTAGGCTAGTTCTGAAGACGTGGGGTTTAAGGGCTTCCACGACTTCGGGACTGGAGGGAATATGGTCTTCAACAATTACAGACCTTTGAGTTTGGGCTTCAAGTCGAGGGTGGCCTCAGGTGGCGCGTACAGCAACAACATGAACAAGCTCCTTGGTTTGATATTCTTCGAGTTGTTGCATGTCACGTTCAAACCTTTGCCCCGAAACTCAACCCAAGCTCCGACCTTTGCGGCTCAACATTACCACACGTTCTCCCTCCTGCAGTTGAGAGAGTCTCGGGGACTGTGGTTGGGGAAGCCCGAATTGTAGCTCCCGAGACTCACAAGGAGGCTTGATAGATGGGAACCATAGTGATGCCAGTGTTGTTATCGTCGTGATCAGCATTTTTTGCCAGTCTATTCTGCGTGGTAGTGGAATATGAACACTAACAGCATGCAATCGTAGTCGCTGTCGCGGTCTCAGTCGTAGACGTAACGTAGTAGTAGAGGTCGTCGTCTATCCACCTTCGTCGTCCTCCCACCAGCAGCAACAGCAGCAAAAACAGCAAGCAGTTCGTCATCGTCGTCCTCGTCCTTGACGCTGCTGCTGTTGCAGGTGCTGTTGTTGTTGCGTTTCTGCCATCGCAACGAAGTCTCAGGTATAGCAAGCAGGCGGCAAACATCAAGCAGTTTTGGTCGCATTCTTGGCATGGACCGGTCTGGAGCAAAATCGCTTTGCCTCTTGGGTTCAAGATGTTTAATAAGAGTTGAGGGTGTCCCTGCAGAAGTAGGAACAATCACAGCAACACAATGCTAACTTCCAGGAAAGGCTGCATGCTGATTCATAGAGGTGGAAAAAAGAACCAACTGCAACATGCAGCGCTTTCAGTTCCGGTTTATAACAACCTGTTGCGCGTTGCTGGAGTCACGACTGGCTGCCATCATGTCTAGACTTGGGCACTGTTTCGCCCATTGCCAGTATGCTAGCATGCTTTGTGCTTCAGCTCCACCCTGCAACCCGCAAGGCCCTCCAAATCCCTTCTCGAAGCGCGGTAAGGCTCGGCATAGAGTGCAATGGGCTACCAGCCGTGTCTCTTGGCACCTTGGGCGTGGCCTTGGCGACCGTGCCTGTCGTGATGCCTCCTGGCTGCATGGCTTCGCCTGGTTGCGGGGTTCATGGGCTCATGGATCTTGATTTGCATACTCTGTCAATATTTCCGGATTCATGTCTTTTGGGTGTGGAAGTTGGGAAGCGTGGCCCATGCAGCAGCGCCTCGAACGTCACGTCTCCCACTCTGATGGTTCAGAGAGCCGTACCGTCCGTTACCGTCCCTAAACTCTAAGGCCAGGCCCTAATCCACCGGTGCATTACGAACCGAACTGGTGAACGCTATGCCCGGCCCCCTGCCCGCTTGAAAGGTTCAGATTAAGGAGCGGGGGTGGGTTCCTTATTATGCTTATACGTGTATAAGATACACCAAAACCTTCTGCAAATGATTGCGGCCCCAATATTGCTCTACTGCAGTTGTTTGAGTTCCCTCTATCATCAGTGTTCTTGTGCTTTCCTTCCGTTCTCCCAAGGGCTCAGGGCCTGCACTCTCAAGCGCAGGGTTTAGATCGGGCGCGGCGTGGGCTTTGACGTGAACTGCTTGCTCTTACTTTGGCAACTTTCACGCACAAATAACACAGCCTCCCCACTTGTTTCTTCGACACCACAGGTACGAGGCATCTCACCTTTGGGTGATGCTGGCGGGGCTCTTGATGCCACTCAGAGCTGTTTCAGCAAGTCGTCAATGTCAATCTTAACCCCATAGGTCCATGGATTGCTTGACCCCGCAAGATACTTGAGCCGCTGAACCCTAAAGGCCCTAAAACCCCACTAGAGCACGGATGGGCGGTAGAAGCAGACAAGACCACACATCGAAAAGCAGAAGTTAATCCAACAAGCTCATGCAAGGGTTCGAGTTGAGGGTTCTACCAGGATTGGGCAAAGGATCTATAATAGCTTAGGGGCTCATTTTGTGGCTCCAACTTTACAGGTTCTACTTTGTAGCTACGGGGGTCACAAGCCACTATGATGTAGGCTTTGTGCAGGAGCACTCCAAGGCTCTTGGCTGTTGGGTTCATGGGTGTCTGACTGGATCAACTTTTTGGGCTCAACCCTCAGAAGCAGACCCACATCACCAGCATCATGGTGCAAGTAGCGCCGCAATAGTAACCACCTATAGGGACCCAGATGGAGACAGGATTGGAATAATCCTGTCAGAACTTGCGTTCTCGGCGTCTTGCGTTCACTGACAATCCGGAATGTTTGGTTCAGAGCTGGATGATTCAGGTTCGCGCGGTATTCAAGCCTGTTTGACATGCTTTGACATCATCACAGTTCAGGACTTCGGTCTTCGGGAAAATCATACTTCAACCTCGACATCATTATGGTGTTGATCAGGGGGGGGTGAGAGTTTCCTTGTTTAGGTTTGGCTCTACATGTAGCGGCACAGGGCTTTCTTCTCCATGCAGGTGCAGGGCTTAGAGCTCAGGGATCCAAGAGCGTGCGACTATGGTGATATTATTGGGTTTCGAGAGGGTCGTGGAAAGTGTTATCTTCAAAAGACGCTCGCAGAGCCCTCACGCTATAAACTAAATGCCCGAATCCGTGCCAACGTTCATATCAGGTCTGGCCTTACCTTTTGGCTTTGGAGGCCTCGACGAGGTGGGAGTTCCTGTTTCAGATGGTCTCTGTTATGTAGGGGTCGGAAGGAGCAGCAGTATCCCCGCATGGCTCCTACATGATAATGATATAAAGTATACCACAACATAACATACTCCAAAAGCCTTGTTCTAATCATTGAGGCCCCCACCCAGAGCCCCTATCAAGCCGCAAAAGGCCGAGACAGGGCCCCACAGGACCCCCTGAGACCAGAGTCCCCCTGAAGCCGAGACCATGGAGGCCTCGGGCCCTGAGCCCCCAAATAAGGGCCCCTTCCGTCTGACCGCAGATGTCTTCGTGGACAAGCTCTGCATCCATCAGACTGATGATAAGCTCAAGGTTGAGGGTGTGATGAACATGTGCGCATTCCTCAAGCACTCCGAATCGATGCCCTTGGTCTTTCGGGCTTACGGCCAAAGGTTGAGGGTTCTGCAACACACAGCGTGAATCGTGGATTCTGGCAGGAAAGAAGAGGTACACCACGAGAAATAGAGGATCGTAGGAACAGTGGCATGGGTCGCGCCGGGGAGCCCTTTAATTAAGGTTCCCGAATTAGGGTTCCTTATAACTTATAACGAGACAACCATACTGTTACATTTGGGTTCACTGTTTCCTGAAACTCCCTTGTTGCCGATATCCTTGAACTTTCTTGGCTCTTGGTGTATACTTACGCCTCTCAAGAGGCTCAATGCCCGGGGGACCGATCTAGTCGTTTTTCGTGGTGATACTTCATGCACAGCCAAAGAGCTGCTAGACTCCTTCACTTGATGTATACATCGATATGGACAAGAGCACCGGGTCTCAAACAGTGTTTCTGATTCTCTTCATGGCTCCTACACGCATTGTAGGGTTAAGGTACCGCAACCGAGATTTAAGTGTGCACGTCTTGGGCTTGCCATGTTCCCTGGAGAGTTTGTAGATGTGGGCTGTTTGATTGGTGGTCTGCTGGACCTGAGAACGGGCAGTTAATGACAGTGATTAGTAAAGGTTAAGAAGGCTGATGCCTGGCAGCTAGGCCCCTGCCTTCCACGGACACGTGTCGGAGGGCATCAAATTGCGACTTACGACTGTCCTTTCTGTCCATTTCCTGTGCTGGCGCCAACCCGAACGAATCACAGCGCAGCAGAGGCTTGTGTGCTGGGATCGCACCTACGCGCACCGGCTTCACGCACCCGATTTGAGCAATCGTTTCGTTCTTTTGGCGGTCATTCTGCTTGAAGACTCCTGATGGACGCATCGCGCCACGGTCGATTTCAGGTGCGCAATCAGCCTGACGAACAGTTCTGTAACAGTTCTACTTTCAGTGTAGTAACGCGAAACTCTTCAAAGGTTTGTCGGTTGAAGAAAGTGGATCTTGCTTTGTGAGTTAACATGTTGTTGCTGCACTGCGAGCGAAACTGAAGCGAACACGAGCTCTAGTACAAGTAGTAGCTGCTGTATTCATTGTTGTAGAGATCGTGGCGACGTGGCGGCGTAGTGGTGGCGCGGCTACGCTCTTCTGGTCTCTTTTTCACTGTAGTCGAACATACCCAGAACCATACGGATTAATGGGGCAGTGAGGCCGACCATCATAGCCGATACAGTCCGCTCCAAGGCTTTGGTGCATCTTGGAAATGGCTGCCTTCTTGAAGACTCACGAGAATCTCGACGGATTGACCATCCGTCCCGTTTCGTGGGGGCCTACAGCCATTGCGTCTCGAGCAGAAAGATGTCATGGGGTTTCTGGAAAGTTTCCACTAGGACCTGTAGGAGCCATAGTGCAATTGATTGGAGCCACGGAGCCTAGAGTAAAAGCCAGCCATTTACAATCTATACACCCCCATGCTCCATCCCTCACCTGCCCCCCGTCCCCCCCACGAGCGGCTTGGGTTTCTGGCTTTCCGAGGCTGGGAAAGGGGGCTGAGCTTTCATCTTGCTTACGCTGCGAGCACCGAAGCTGGCCAGGCGCTCTTCGTTGGCTACTCAACCGGCGTCGTGACATATATGGCGTTCTTTGAGTACCTTATCCAGCTGGGCCTCAGTGAAACACAGCTCTGGACAAGAATCTCAATCGTGATGTGTCTGCCATTTCTACTCATATTCCCCTTCGTGCTCCATGCCTATCGCAAGCAGATGCGGGCCATTGAAGAAGTTCAGGACACGGTTGTAGCATTTGCTGCACTTGGAGTGTGGATTCCGCGCTTTCTGCGTGTGTTTGCTCTTGTGGGCTTGTCGTCCAGGGGTAAAGAGGGCGTTGGCGAGGGGCACCTGGTGTTCCGGATTCCGCGATGCGTGAGTAACTCTTGCTACAGCTGAAGCCTACGCACATCGCCCTAGTCTCCTGAATTCACACTCCAGCCTCAAAGTAAATTTATCATTCACACCAAGCAGGCCGCGGAGCTAGTTCTAGGTGTTCCTTTGTTTCCACCCCAGCAACCCTAACCTCATTCTTCTCCAACTCTAGACATCCAAACCGTCATGTTGCGATCGGCCCGGGTTGAGCGACACTCAAGGCATGTTCGAGTCTCTTTTGCTGGAAGTGAAACACACGGGATTTCAACATCAGCCGAAAATTTCTCGAAGCCTGAAGCTCACACCCGATACCACAGAAGCTTGAACCGCCAGGAGCAGCTTCAGCGGTTTGATTTCAAGCGAGATCCCGAATGCCACTGCTGCAGCGTTAAACATGTCCATCCTGCCTCTTGTCTGATGGAGCCTGATGGAACACATTCCTAGGTGTGCTTTGCAGCAGACGGGCCCTAATTGTCAGGCTTTGTCAGAACCCCCTCACCCCAACCCCCTAAAGAAAGGTAACTAAATGAGATAGAGCGCAGGAATGCTTGCATGAACTCTAGCAGCCGGTGCTGTAGGCTTCAGTGGGAGCACTTTAGAATGGAGTTTCGGGGTGGAAGCTGTTTGCGCGATACTCAGGGTGCGTCTTTTGCGTATGACCGTATGGGCCGTGGGCTTTTGCGTCATTAGGCAAGTTCAGTTTCTTAAAGCTTGCATCGTCAATGTAGAGCCAAGGTCACAGGCAAACCGATGCTGTGTGACCACCAGGCGCAAAGACTGCTGGGAGAGAGCCTCGGGGCCCCTTTGTGAGTAAAGCCAAAAAAGCGTATATTTGGCTGCAAAAGACAAGCGACATGCTTTTGACGCCCTGCTCGAAATTGTTGGTCGGAAGTCCACGGGAGACCGTCGGATTCTTTGATTGCTTTTTGGTAGTGCGTTGACTGCAGTGTTACGTTCAGGGGTTCAAACGAAGCTTGAAGCTTGCAGCGGCTGTCCTATGAGACACTCGCAGGTCATCCGAGAATGCGTTACAACCTGGTTTGGCTCCGTTGCAGAGTTTGAGACCGTCGTACGTGAACGGGTCTCGAACGTGTTTACGGACAGATTAGCGAACATTCCGCTGCCCTACACGTGGCTTGTGGCGACCACCATCGCGAACTTCTGGGCTTGCATCCCGGATATGGCTCAAGCCGTCAGAAGTGGCGAATCTGGGCTATAGCTTTCATGCGTCACTGTATGTCGAGTCCTCGTTTCTCCTAGGTGCTGTTTCCAAACCGCTTCAGAAAACGCTTCCCACCACCCCCGCTTGCTGCCAGCTCCCAGGACCACACAGCTCTCCTTCTATATTTCGCTTCATCTCTCGTCTACTGGCTTGCAGGCTTGGGAAGGAAACGGGAGTGAAGAGAGACATCCTCAGCCCTCTATACATGCCACAATCCCTTTTGTGGTGAGTTGTTAAGTTCAGGATTCGGGCCTGATTATTGAGAGTTGCTGTGGACTTGCGGGTTCACTAGCCGGATTGTTCCCTTATCTTCGTGCTTCAAGACAAGGAGTGAGGGTCGGGTATCAAGGCAATGGCAAAGCCGCTGGAACTACACATGAGTCTCAGCAGGTGCTAGTACCTACAAGTTGTTGGGCCTCGCTCTCGCTCTCGCTCTCTCTCCCTCTCTCCCTCTCTCTCTCTCTCTCTCTCTCTCTCTCTCTCTCTCGCTCTTAATTTCTACATACACGTCGACAGCTCCCGCCTTTTGCTAGCATTGCTTTGATCGTCACCGCTCCCTCCCAAATCGGGCACGGTGCCCAAAAGACATGCTGCCTACCATGGGTTTCAACTGCCAAAGCTGCCCACCAGCATGAGCATGATGATATATCTTCCTTATATCTTTTTCCCACAGCATTGCCCCCGAACGACGGCGAGTTCTACCGTTGCAGGCTATCCTGCAATACTTGTCACGGAGCTCAAGGTGGCATACTGGCTACGGCGACGTCGCAGCTCTGGAATAAAGGAGGCCAGGAAGAAAGCATCACTGATTGCCTATTATAGAAATAGATGGGCTGCAGAACAATGCACCTTATTTAGTATTTAGGGTTGAAAACCGTAGGGCACACAAACAAAGAAACCCTAGAACTGCAAGACCCAAGGCAGCCTTGAACTTCGCCTTGGGTGTCGTTTGCGCGATGGGTTTCTTTGCAGTGATGATGAGCGTTCCTCGCTTTCTTTACCCTTTGTGTCCGCCTTTTGTTTGTGTTTTTGGCCGTCACCTCAGGGTTCGACTTTCGAGTTTAGGTAAGGCTCATGAGCAAGGCTCAGGCTAGGACCCGTGCACAGCCCCGGAACCTCAATGTGCCCCGGAAGCCCTGCCAAGCCTGAGTCCCGAGGAACTGGCATTCAGACATGTCTTCCACGATGTGGTCGTGGGCGAGCTCGTCTACTACTCGCTCTTCGTGCCCAAGCACGGCGTAGAGAACAACTTTCAGGTTTTAGGGTTCGCGGTTCGGTATTAAGGAGCTGAGGACTTTTAGGTATTTAGACTGTTGGTTTCTCTTGTTTTGAGGGTGGAGCCGTTTCCCCCCGTCCTTTCCCTTCGTTTAGTGTGTAGTCTACTCTGGCCAAAACTTAATCCTGCTGCCTGCAGGAGAATTTCCCGACACAGCCCCATCACGGAACCCAAAGTCTCCACCCCATTTGTTCAGGCCCTGCCCACTTTCCGTTCCCATGGGACATCGTCCTGACACAGCCACGTCACGGCCCTCACAGCGCCCCTTCCTTCCCGCTTCTTTTGGTGTATGTTCTACTCTAGCTAACACTTATAAGACTTATAAGCAACTTGCGGCTGCTGCAAACAAAGGTGCTGATGGCTGCACTCACCTGGGGGCCAGCTGTTGTTTCAGCTGTACGAGCCAGGTTCTGTTCGGATCTATCCGTGCCGAGGGAAGGTGCAGTTCCATAGCCGAGATGGGGCGCAGCAATGGCGAATCGGTACGAGGAATCCAGTATAATGAGATTCTTTGTAAGCTCTTAAACCTTCCCAAGAAACTTTTTTAGAAGGCATTCGGGAAACGAATACGGTTATTGAAACAAATTCCAAGGACTCCCATCCCAAAAACTTTCTTCATTTTCAGCACTGGCAACAGGATTGGACGGGGCCGCGGCCGACGAACATGCACTGCATCATATCGTATCAAACAAGATCAGCTAATACCATTGTCATATCATATCATACTCTTGCACATCGTACCATGCCATATCATACATCGCCGGGACGAAAGTGTCAACATATCGTTCTGTAAACATGCGAGGCTGAAAGTCCGTTGTACGTGGCCAGCGACGCGCAGTAGTTAATTCCCGAATGACACTCTACTGGTATGCTGTTCCGGCGGAAGGGCTTTGCGGTACCTTGTGTCAGGAGTCTACGGGGAAAAAGGGGGGTCCCAGAGTCTGACATGTTAAGCCAAAGGTCGTGCGATGAAGCGCTATACTAGACTATGTGCTATGATGTTGTATTATATCTTATTACATGAATATGCAATGTTATATTATATATTATATGAGATGCTGTTCTTGCAGCCTATACTAAACTAAACTATACTATACTATACCAGATTAAACTCGGCTGTACTGCATTCTGCTGCACTACACTATACCATCTCATCTGACATTCTGTTACACTAAGCGGTATTGTGTTTTGTAGATGCTGCGTTATGTGATATCACATGATGTTACAGCAGTACTACAGCATGTTATAGTGCATTACATGACACTATATTTGACTGTGTTATACTAGACTAGGTTAGAAAATCTTAGCTATACTACACCATAATGCGTCGGGCTATGTTCTTGTGCATAACGTAATAGTTGATTATTGTGTTCCCTTGTCTGTTTGTTATCTCATAGTTTGTTATGTTCTGAGTTGTAAGTGTTGTTGTTGTTGTTGCTGCTTTGAGCACGCTCGTGCCGCGTTCAATTGAAAATTGCTGCTTTGTGCTGTTCCTATCATAAAGATGACTGCTCTTATTGTTGTCATTACTGTTATTACTACTGCTGTATTAGATTAAAAAGACAGGGCGTTCTTTTTAAAGGCGATGCGTAGTTTATCCAGCAGTAGTGATAAGGTTTTTGCCTGCAGCCCTAAACTCTGAACCGGCGAATCGGGGGCCAGACAAAAGCTTGCACATTGCATGGGGTTCCGTCTACACAGCATTCGAGAAACTTGATGCCGCGCCCCCCACCCGTGCAAGGCCCTACGCCGAAAGTCAGAAGGACTTTGCTAAAGTGGGATGTGGTCGGCGAAACAGTGCTGCATGCGTCATAAAGGTGCTTGCAGCGCAAGCAAAGCGCGCACAACACTGCATGCCGAAGTCGGTCCAGATGTCTCAAGACACGATTCCCAAATTAGTTGCGATGTGATGCATACTGACTAACTGACTAACCCTAAACATAGAAACATTACTATGCTTCCTGGGAATCTCAGGTAGGTTTGGCTTGGCCCTCAAGTCTTTGAAGGCCACGTCCTGGTAGTGCATGCCCAGGCATGCCACACCCGGCACCAAGAGCTGTCGTGAGCAGTTTCTTGGTGGCTTCTTGTGAGTTAGGGGGTTTTGTATTGTAATGAGAGATCTATCGTAAGTATCCTACAACTCAGGGTCTTATGCGAGGGGCCCGCTTTTTGCCATGGCTTGCGGTTTAGGCTTGCGCACGCCCAAGCACGTAAAGCAGAATCTGCACCGTAAGTCCAGTATTTGGGCATGAACACGAACAGCACTTTGTGCATAGCATAGAGGGAGCATAGGGGGACTTTGTAAATCAGGTCCTTGAGGAAAGGAACCTTCAGAAATGCCACACCAGAGAAGGCCGGAAATTCAGAGACTTTCTAAGGTCTTCGCAGTATTGTAGGCTGAAGGTTCTGGGGTTCACTGTTCTCGCATGTCCGCAGCATGCACATTTCATGCGGGGACTGCCCGAAAGGAAGATTGTCGGCGGTGTAGAGCAGTTAAGGGTTTTGATTTCAGGGTTTTGAGAATTCGGGCTCAGGAGAGCTCACTGGAGAGTCACCAGAGACAAAACATTGTTTCGCCGAACGGCGTCGTTCAACACCGACACGGCTGCGCTCAGTGGAGCGAGTGTAGAGGACGGCTTTGTGTGGAAGGGAAGCCATTCTACGGAACATGATGATCAAGTTTTCGCGAGTTTTAGATTCAGATTTTTGCATGCTTGGATTTTCGGGATGAGGCAGCACAGACTGTGTAAGCAATGCAGTCTGGACCACCCTCAGTCCCGGCTTCTTGACAGCATGTAAATGTACAGTCTCTCCTGCTGATTTCGGCCCACTCTTATAAATATTCTCCGGACTAGCATGTTGCACTTCGCAATTGGCCGAGCGTAAACAGGACTGCAGTCGTTGCTTTGTGGTTCGGGCTCGGTGCGGTTATTGACTGTTTGCTGATCTGGTTTTGGACAGAACATCTTCAGTGCTTTTCAAGGCAAAATATCCTTTGGGCTGCCTTATGCACATATATATATATACACATACATATATATGTTTAAGTATATGTATGTATGTATATATATATATATGTATATATATATTTATTTATTTATTTATATTTATGTATATTTATTTATATATATATATATATCTGTGTATGTGTACTGAGAAGTTGCCAGGGCTAGATTTAGTGCGGCCGTGCGGGGGCGACATGCTTGAAGGCGAGGGAGGTGCTTGGTGCATCGGGCGGTAGCGATAGAAACGCTAAGAAAAGATGTCGCAGCGGCGTTTGCAAGCAGCATATCATTATAAACCAACTACTATGGAGCAAGACCATAGAAATAAGTGTGGACATGATGGAAGCAACACAGATTTCAGCAGTTTATCACGAACAACAAGCCTTGCGAAGCACAGTAGCTAGCCTGAAAGCCGAGTCCCATCAAAGCCAAGGGCTCACAGGAAGCTCGTCCTTTCTTGGGTGCTCTAGTATGGACCAGTATTCTGGAGTCATTCTCTGAAATACCCATGGCAAACTCCGCAGCGTTCGCCTTCAGGTGGGCGTGGACTCCAAGTCAGCGCCTTTGTTTGGGCTGAGAAGCACGGGAGATCAGGGGGAAGGGTTCATGGGAGTATGGATATGGAGGCAGGGGTTAGAGTCGTTCGAGGTACAGAAAGGGGTCGAGTAGGAATATTCCCTTCAAGAGTCCCTATGCCAGCACTGTGGGTACGACTTGGTGTTGGGTTTCGGACTTTTTTCAGATTCTGAGAGTTTCGGAAAAGCAGAGACCGAAGGATCGGTACGCCCCTTGTAGATCAGGATCCTTCGTGCTGAAAAGGACACCAAGGATTAGCCCAGGATCTCAGAGCTGCTTTCAAGAGCATGTTTCCGGGTGAGATAGAGATGCATCGAGGGCATGACCGTGCTGTGCTGCAGTGAGCTTCAAGGTAGGCTTCGTGGAGGGGACGAGCCCCCTGCGCGATGCTATGTGGGGAGAGTTTACATTGGGCCATCATTACTGCCTGGTGTCGGTTTGCATAAACCTTCCGGCTGAGTTATGTGTTTGGGAGCAGCCCTCGAAAGAACACAATGAGTCAAGACTCTGAAATCCTTGTAACCTCTGCGGCACACACATATAGCTATCCACGCAAATATGCATCGATGTTCACCGAATGTGAACAGCAACTTGCAGGGGTTTGGGGCAAACTGTGTCTTCCACCGAGGCCTTTTCGGCTGCATTGGGATCATGCTTCCAGTCGACTTTGGCGAAAGCCCCAGAGACGTTGCCTTGTCCAAACCGCGGCTTAACTCTGAACCGGAAGTTGTCACACCCACCAAAGGTCCTCGAAGATGTCGTCGCGTAGCAGTAGGAGTGCTGTGATCTTCGTCGTCGCCGTCCTCATCGCAGTAAGCAGAGCGACAGCAACAAACGGAGTACGCGTAGTAGTGAGGGCACACGCAGTATTCACAGTATTCATGTGTGCACTGGTTGGTGTAGAAGTTCTATTGCTTCACCCATGTTGCATGGTTGTTGAAGGCAAAGTGAAGATGTTGACAAGCCTCGCACACCCTAATGCGACACCTGCATCAAAAACCTGAAGTAGAACTCTACTACCATTGTCGGCTGAAGCCGGGCCGTATGTGTGGCCAGGAGGCCATTGAGATTATGTATGTACATGTGTGTGTGTATGTCTGAATTTATGTTTCCGTTTCTTGGGCTTCGGAAGGTCGTATTCTTCAGGAGCAGCTGTCGAAGGCAAGCCACCCACCTTAGTAGTTAGTTGGAAGTGTCACTTTGGCAATCGCAGTCGATCTCGAATTCACTCGACTACATATTTGCGTATTTCCCGTGGCTTCCCGAGTATACTTGGTTGAAGTATCAAGACCCCGAAACCCTAGCTAAGCCTTCCCGTACAGGAACGCCTATGCCCAGTTCGCTGAACTACCGACATGCTCCCGTATAGGTGTATCTATGTATGTGGATGATGTCGGTTTGCCCCTATGCGGTTTTCTCGAGTTGACGTCTGGATCTCATTTCATGTGTGCATATATTCTACGCACCCCAAACCCTAGCAGCTAATGTTTCAAAGATCTTAAGTTCACCTGCAGGCAGCTAACCGAAACAGTTTAAGCTTACCTGCGTTTTGGAACTGGCGGGGTGGGTTAGGAGAGAAAACTATCTAAACCTGCAACCTGCAACCCTAAACAAAACCTTAAATACAAAAACCTGATCTGTAGATGCAACCCAAACCCCAACAAGCACGAAACCCAACACTTCCATGGACCTTACCACAGCTTCTTGTTCTGTTTTCCCTAGAAACCTCCAAGTGGCCCTGCTTGAGGTGGGGCTCCACAGGAAGGTGCAGTCCCGGGTTCTGGATCTTTGTCAAATCCCCGTTACTACTTTAATTAATCCCTCATGATCTTTCCCCACAAAAAGCTATCGCTTTGGGATTGGGGGCCTTTTGATACCTTCAGTTGGGGGTTCGGCTTCGGGGCTTGGGGATAGGCGTCTCCGGGCGTTACATTCGTGGGCAGTTTCTTTGCCATAGCGAGATGGCGAAGGGGCTTACCGCCTCCATAGGTTGCAGTTCTGGCTGTGGCGCAGGCATCGCAAGCTTTCCCAAGCTGCTGCACCGAAGAATCACATTCCCAGATCCTGATATAGAGGTCAAAACAACCAACCAGTAATCGTATCATGTCCCCTTATGGTCCCTTTATACTTGCAGTAGAATACCCCCAAACATGTACGAACATTGTATTTCAATCTCAGCCATGACCCAGGCCCGACTTTGGGCTTAGGCGTCCATCCGAAACCCCGCACTTAAAAATCGCTGTCTTGGCCAAAGACTGCACAGGCTTTGTGGCTCAGCAGCTGAGAACCCCTTCGATCCGCAAACTTGGGGTGTTTTCAGGGCGAGGCTTCGGGCTACCCGCATACCGGCTGGAGGCGGAATGGTCTGACATAAGACTCCCATGGAAAAACCCAATGAGAAGCATCCGGCGCAACGTAGAGGGACATCCCCNNCCCCCCCCCCCCCCCCCCCCGCCGGCGCATCCTGGGTTTAAGGCTGAGGGTTCCTGGCTTAAGAGACAGGTACAGTCTGCAGCCGCCTCGACCTGAGAGCACAGGGAGTTTCGCGCTTCGGGCTCTGGGAATCTAGCCCTCTAAGCTCCAACTTTAGACTCTTTAGACCCTTGCAAGGAAGCGTTACTGGCAGGACGAGGTTTAAGCTTGGTTCGGATTCGGGAGCTTGCACATTGAGGGGCCATGTGCTGTTGTCAGAATACCGGTTGCGACGTAGGCACCTCCCCTCTATGCAGAAGGCACCCTTGTCCTGGGAGACTTCCTGGAGTTTCTGGGCTCCTTTCCAGGCCAAGCCACCCGATTGGACAGGATTCTTGAACCTTTTTAGGGTGTCACATCGTGGCATCGCTGAGTTTCATGCTTATAGAAAATTCGAAGAATGTATGCAGCCAGCAGATTCGACAAGTCTAGGCCACTGGAATCACCTCTTCAATTGGCGGTCGCGGCCCTAGTTTCGGGCTTTCGGGTTGTTGCCAGTACTAGCACGGCTTGGGGGCTGCCTGGCCGACCTGTTGAGTTCGGCTGGACGACTGGAGGCTTCCGGCGCCAGGGGCACCGATGTTGGATTTCAGGAGGCTATGAGGATGAACACTGCAAAAGCGCCGCGTCTTGCAGAGGCACTTGTAAAGACTACTCGGGTCACACTTTCTGGAACACAGACGAGTCTTGAGGCCTTAGCCCACACAAGCCGAGCGAACCCAAGTTTGGCCTATGCTTCAAGCGACGGCTGCCACAGTTTAGGCAAACACGCAACGCAAGCTGTTAACAACCTACGCTTCACAAAAGCAGGGGTGGCTCCGAGCCAAGGATACAGCCAGTTGCTTCCCGAGGTGTGGGAGTCCAGCGACGGAAGTGGGCGGGGGCTGAGTGCTTAGAGAATGCGGATGAGAAAGCGTTGCAAGGATATGAGTATAAGTCATGTGGGTCTCGTATTCTCATAGCTTGAACGAAGCTGCGTAGCAAAGCCCATCTTGTGTTTCGACTCCAGAGCCTGCGACATGGCACAGACACGAGCAAAGTACTCCACGATCTCTTATGCCTGTCTAGGTTCAAGAGTCCATGCTGGGGATTGTCCTAATTCTTTCAGCTGTCTGACCCTGATGGCGCTGCTCAGGTTCACATGGGAGCGGGCTCAGGGAGCAGAAGCTCAACAGTGCGAGCAAAAGCTGAAGAGCCAGCAGCAGCAACAGCAGCAGTTTCAGCAACAGCGGCAGTTGCAACAGCAGCAGCAGCAGCAGCAGCAGCAGCAAGAGTTGCAACAGCGCGTGCTGCAACAGCAGGCGTTGCAGCGCCGGCAAGCTTGGGCGCAGCAGTACCAGCAACAATACCGATGGCACCCTGCCCAAGGCTCGATGAACTTGCACTCCCAAATGGGCTGCAATGGTTGTCAGACTCTGGCCAGTTCTTGGCCGCACCAGCAGATGTGGTACAACTACCCCGTCATGGCTGTGCGGTATGCGCCGCGCGCTGAGGGAGTTCCCGGTTATTGCCGGATGGTCAGAAATAGCAGGTTGTTGCTCCATCCACGGCCTGTAGCTGGGGATCCTCTTCTGTAGCCGTGGCTTTGGGCTTCTTATCTTCTGCAAGATGCCTATCAAACAGGGCCTAAAGGCCTAAACAATTAAGGGGGTTCCTTATTAGAATTACAGTATCATGGGGCCCGAAAGCCGTATTCTAAGTTTGAAGGCCCCTGCTTTATATATGTTCCTACGTAACGCTTGCTCTCGTTTGGGTTCCCAGATTCCTGCTTCAGTAGGTGACTACCGCCAGAAGAGTCAGAACCTAAAGTTGAAATGATACTGTGCCCCCCCCCAGCGGTAACAGGAATTGGATTACAAGCCAGTTTGATTGCATCGACCCGTAGCCCCAAGAGCCCAACACTCGAAGACTCCGACAAAAACCCGAAGCCCCAGCCCTAAACCTCAAAGCCCTACGCCCGGTTGAAATCCTGACTTTCGGAGGCCCTACTGAAACTGAGCCGTGCAGATTCCGCTCAGTGCCACAGGACGCAGAACGTTTGAGGGCTTGGGGCTGTGAAATTTCTGGTGGAGGGGGAAAGGGCATTCGGCATGTGAATCAGGCTTTCGTAGGGTGTTGATAGGCACATTAAGATAGGGTTCTGGCTTGACCATGGGGGCTGCAGGCTGGGGTGCCCTTTACAGGGTTTGTAGGCTTGCTGTGTGGCCTTGCGGAGGTTTGGGGTTCAGGGATGGTGCGTGAGCCATAAGTGCTCTTGCTTTTGTATGGGCACCTGAGAGAGCTCAGTGTCAATATCGAGGCTTCGAGCTGAAGCATCCGAGCCTATCATCCGGGAGTAGTAGCCACACGCGAACGGGAATAGTCAGAAGTGTTGCATTCTAGAAAGGTAGGTTCCAAGCCCAAGATGCTCTTCGTCTATGCGGCACCCAGACGTAGAACCGTGCTGCCGCATCGGGCCGACAAGGAGAGTGTAGTTCACTTCAACGCTGGCTGCTTTAGTCTTGGCTTTCAGACAGGAAGATCGATTTACAACTGCTTGTAATGCTCCCGTGCTTGTCGAGAGCCTATCGCACCTGGCCGTCTGAGAGACCGGGGGTCCTTTCAACTGCAGCGAAAGAAGTGAAAAAAGGAGACAAAGGTTCCGGGCCTGGTCCTGGTCCATTGGGTCCGTGCCCGAACGGCTGGCACTGAGCTTCGCACGGAGCCCTGTAGGAGTCCTTCGCCTTGATTTCGGCTCCAGTGATCCTATGGAAGATTCAATGTTTCCATGCGGGATTTACCCTGCAGGCTTTAGTCTGCTTGGCACATCCCCTCTGGAGATTACATCGCTCTTGGGCTTTCGAAGCCAAAGCATCATTGAGCTAGGTCTTGCATAAAGCTCCAGGTTTATGCTGATTCCGTGAAGCTACGACTTTAGCCTTTCAGAATTTTGGGGCGACCGTCATGCGCTCCGCCGGCCAGAAATCGCAAAGCCCTCCACGCTGTACTCTGCACCATGCCAACCTGTGTCAGCTTGCGACGAGAGCTAGTTGACATCATGAGCCCGCTTTTGTTGGGAATTTGACCGTAAAGCTGGTGGGTTGAAGTTCAGGAGAAGGGAACTGGATGCTCAGATTCAATTACTGCCGGACCTGTGCGGAATGCACCTGATCCACCGCGACGATGGCTGGAAGGTGGCGCAGGGGGAGAGACGCTGCGCAGGACTGTATAGAATTTGGAAAGTATTGTTAAATTTGCTGTTCCTGTCGATAGAGTCGTTGTTCCTTCTCTTCCAGCATTATCAAGGTATACACGAGTGAACCCCGAAATGGGGGGAAACAAAGACTAGGCTGCGAATCAAGTGATCAACCGAGCAAGCCGTTCTGAGACGAGCGACTAGGTCTGAAACCCATCCGCTCACCCCACCCCTTCCTGCCGGTATGGAATCTCCAGCCCTGGAACGCGCACAGACAGCCCCCACGCTGTGAACCCAGATCTCGTTCTCATCCCTCCAAGCTTAACGGTGTAGCAGGCACAAAAGATCCGGTAAGCACCGCGACCTCTTTTGGTTCTTGGTCAAGTCTTTGGGGTTCTCTCGATGATCACTTGTCTGGTCTGGTATCGTCGTCGGTTGTTGTGTCCTGTCCTCTCTGCTGTCCTGACTTACCTGTCCATGTTTAGCTTACCCTGCGGTCTCGGTGTTGCCTTACCCGATCTTCCCTCAACTGTTGTTGTCACTACTTGCATCTGTTGCCTGACAAGAGAGTGTGTTTCTGTGTGATTGTCTGTGTGTGTGTGTCTAGGTGTCCTCACGACGAAGTCATCCTTGAAGCTTCATCTTGGTCCCGACTGGTTTGTCTTGTGGATACTATCTTGTTATTACACTTTGGTATCTTTCTGAAATTGCTTTTTTTTGCTGTTGTATTTTGCCAAATCCTCGCTGCACGGTCTGATGTATGTAGGGATGCATCTGACACGGGTTCGAGGGGAATGGTGGAGATATTCGGTGGTTTGGGCTCCTCACATGTCACGTGTCTAGGGTTCAGGGTTTGGCCATACCTTTAATTGAGAGCGCATGGGCTTCGAACTTTGGAGCTGCTCGCTTCGAGAAGGAGCAGCCAGAGCAGCAGGCGCATGTTGCAGAGGCCTCGTCGGCCGTTTGGTTGCAGCGGCTGTCGTCCTCATCGTCGTCGTATTAGTGTTTGCTGTTATGGCCACACTGCCCTCGAGGACACTACAGTGTTCAGATGTCTCCAACTACTACCAGTCATCACTGAGTTATCACCATGGGACCATGATAGCGAGGAGAGTACTGCTCCGCTCTTGGTTCCGAGCCTGGACTCCCCGACGATCGCAAATGCCAGGTGCAAGGCCAAAGGGCATGCGAGCGGCATGCAGGCGGATACGTCGCAGACGGCGAAGGCTTCCTAGCTCAATAGAAGAATTTGCACTTTGTGCGGTTTGAAACTCTCCAAGTCAACATTGCTGAAGCTCGGAGCAAAGATCGTGGGGCGCGGGATGTAGAGCCAAAGGCTGTGAGGTTCGAGGTCCATGGTTCTGCCTCAACCAAGCTGAACCTTGCTCCTTACAGGAGTTTGCGGCTTCATGGTTTCGTCACACTTGCCAGAGAGTGGATGTTTGTTCACTTAGGATTCCGGACGCGGATGTTGGGGTGTCTTCTCCAAGAGTAGGAGACATAACTGTCGAGGGCACGGTTATGCAGGACATTCCGTTGCCTCATTCCTGATTCCTATCATAAGACCCAAACCCGAAGTTTCATCAGCTCGGAATCGGCTTCATTCCAGAACCACATCAGGTTTGGCGACCTCCTCCCTTGCACCCTCGAGAGTTCCGGCGTTTTGGATTTGGGGGCCAACACAGACATCCCTCACCCCTGGCCGAAACACTGCAAACATTGAGATACACCTGACGGCTCCAACGCGGAACTGAACAGCGCAAGGACCTGTCGACACCGACAAGACCAAACCGGACGTGCAGGACGGTGGCTGCGGTTTTGTTCTATTTGCTGGGACGCCAGGCTCTCTGGTTGTTAGCGCTGCAGGGCTTCGGCTCCTTCGAATCCAAGCCAAAGGCTTCATAGGGCGACTCGGGTACCGTAAATGAAGCCGAGACTCAGCGAGGACTTGGCTGCGCATGCGCAGCCTGCCCACCAAGGCCGCTCGGCAAAGTCCTGAAGGACCGGCTTCGAAGGCCTTATACCTACAGCAACCAGAACGTCGAAACGTGTTTTTCCTGTACCCTCAAACTCCAAGCCCTGAACCCTGAGCGCCCCTTTGCGCCGCCCTCACAAGTAGCGGTAGGCTTGTCTCGAAGCCAGGTTTCTGCAACTGTTCTGTCCCAGCTTAGTGGGGAGTTCGACCAACCTTCCAGAAGCCCCTTAACAAAAAACACTACACCCTCATAGGCCCCAGCGGCAGCGAGAGCCGGTGGCGGCGCAATGCTGCCTCGGCTGAGGCCGAAACCAGGCCGCTTGCTATACCTTGCAAGACGTGGGGCTGGCTGCGAGAACCAGGGGGGAGCTTTGGGAGCTACGAATCCTGAATGGATCCCTCCTTGCCCCGGGCAGTCCCCCCAAACAGAAAGATACGGCCCTCCGTCAGGAGCCTCACACCGAGCTCCTTCGTCCTCTTGCGCTCGGGCCTCCACGTTCCCGTCCTGGGCCTCGGCACGCGGCAGCTCAAAAGCGCAGAGTGCCGAGAGGCGCCGCCTTTAGAGCTGGGCTTCTGGACCCGGCCCCCTGGGTTCTCCTTTCGGGTGCTCTCCTGGTCCTCTGTCATTGTTTGGGGATTGATTTAGGGTTTTGGGATTTGGGGCTTTGGGATGTGGTGGCTTTTCTTTGGGGTTAAAGGGCCGAGCTCTGGGGCCTCGGCCTCGGGAATTTGGAGAAGGCTTGCTGTGTTGGTGACCCTTTCCTTGCTTCTCGGGATGAAAGAGGTCTAGAGGTTCGGGGTACTAGACCCTAACGATTGTAGGGTATTCGCTTGTAGAGGCAACCCAGGCCTTCTGTGTCGACTGTGATTGCCAAAACGCATTCCGACCGACAAACACTTGGAGCCAGCACCCAGGCTTCACTTGGATGAGTATTTTTCGGGCTACCTGAAGTTGGCAGGGCTGATGCATTCATTCAAGAACATGAAGACTAAGATCTCCTCGGGGCAGTCATCCGGTCTTGTTGGAGGCGGTCCGAATGGCGCTGCGCTCCGGCTACCGACTCATCGACACAGCACCAGGCTTTGGCAACGAGGAGGTCGCTTCGGAGTGGAGGGTTTCGGCCTTTGGAGTTTTGGGCCGCTGAGTCGCAAAGCTCGTAACACCTTGTAACGTAGTGGCAGCTCTTCAACCGTGCGCGACCTGCCGCAAGAGGGGTTCGCTGTCCTTGCCCTTGGGAGCTTCGAAGAACAAGGGACCCCTAGCCCTGGACTATACAGATCCTTTTCTTGTCAGCACCTCAAAAGACAGACCGCTGCGTTTCCAACATGCGGT